ATCATTCTCAGCACGGGTTCAGAAAGGGCCTTTCTACTACGACCCAGCTGATCGAAACCGTTCACGAGCTAGCCCAAACAATTAATCATCGCGGTCAGACTGATATAGTATTCTTGGACTTCGCTAAGGCTTTTGATAAAGTGTCTCATCAGAAGTTATTACTAAAACTGAACAATTTGTTTAGAAACACAAGCATAACACAATGGTTTCATTCTTATCTATCTTCTCGAGTGCAGTTTGTTGAAACCGGTGGTCGTACATCAGGTTTTGCTCCAGTGCTTTCTGGGGTGCCTCAGGGAAGTGTTTTGGGTCCGCTGTTATTTCTAATCTTTATAAATGACCTCCACAATGTAATTAACCTGCCAATACGATTGTTCGCACATGACTGCGTGATACATAATGAAATAAGAACACCCGATGATCAGGCCGAATTAAATAGAAATCTACAAAATATTAACAAATGGTGTCAAGATTGGCAAATGGTTTTAAATCCAGGAAAATCAGTCTTCATGACCGTTACGAGGAAAAAACAATTTCTGAGGTACGACTACTGTATCAACGAGCATGAACTCGCAAGGGTAACTGAGCACAAGTACTTAGGCTTAACATTCACTTCAGATTTACGTTGGAATGCTCATATAGACATAGTGTCTGCAAAAGCCAATAGATCGCTATGGTACCTAAGAAGAAACTTGTCGTATGCCTCACCGGAAGTAAAAATCCTCGCCTATAAGACCCTTGTCAGGCCAGTCATAGAGTACTCCAAAATAGCATGGGACCCACTTACTGTCACTAATGCATACAAATTAGAAAAAGTTCAGCGCTTAGCTGCTAGGGTCATTTATAACAAATATCGGCGCGATCATTCTCCTACTGAGCTCTGTCAAATGGCTAATATTCCAACCCTCGAGTCTAGGACGCATTTTGAGAGATTAAAATTTATTTTTTTAATTATTAATGAATATGTAAAGATAAACAAAGATAATTATTTCCAAGTTCTTAGAGACGAAAAATCAAGGCACCGGCATAGTCTATACATAAGAGAATATACTGTGAAAAACGATTGCTTTAAATTTAGTTTTTTCCCAAGAGCCGTCAGGGAATGGAATAAACTGTCGAATGAAATGGTGACATCATCATCCATTACGACCTTCCTTCACTGCATTGAAAACGTTTTGATATGTGCGAGTGACTGAATGAGTATCGTGTGTATCGTCTTGATTACGTGCCAGCACGGGAAGTTATCTATGAAGTGTCAGCATTTTTTATGAAACCAAGCGAAATGCGAGAATTGTGTGTATTTACATCTTGTATCTTTTTGATTTTTATCGTTTGTACCTTCCACTTCTGTAATGGCACTGTGATAGGGCTAACAGTATCAATAAATAAATAAATAAATAAAACCGGCTTGAATAGCGACAGGCCCAGATGGCATAGGAATGAGACTACTCAATACACTAGGAACAAAAAGAAAATTCAAGTTAAGACAGGCAACTCATCAAATAATAATGGGGGAAGAGGTACTCAATGATTGGAACTTAAACACAATGAGATTACTATACAAAGGAAAGGGAAATAAGGACCTCACAACATCATACCGACCAATAACAGTAACTTCGATCCTTTACAGACTAGCGACGCAGGTAGTGGAACGAATGAAAGGATGGACAGAAAACATTTTAGGTGAGCTGCAGAACGGGGTACGAAGAAGTAGAATATTAGATTATCACTTATTCTTACTCAATGTAAGAATACTTATTACTCAATGTAAAAAGCGAAGAAAAAAACGCTATGAATATCATTTCTAGGGCGTGCGATAATGTGATTTAGGAAAAACTCGGAACAGCTGACAAAATATGATTTAGATGCCCATTTTATTAGGCTTTTACAACAGGTACACACAAATAAAAAGGTTGTTATAATATGTGAAGCAGAGATAAAACAACCGGCAGTAATAAAAAAAATACTCAGGCATGATTGCCCCCTATCGCTTCTGCTTTTTTTATGATATGCCTGAGTAGAACAGAAAATAAATTAAAGGAGTGTATTTTAGGCATTGATACTTCATTGATGGAGAGAAAAAAAATGTAAATAAATTTATACCAGGAACGTTTTACGCAGATGACATTGTACTGTTAGGAGATAGCCAGGATAGGTTACAGGAGCTAATTAATACCCGTGCCACACGGGCAACTCAAATATCATTTACAACGAATGACATTTGAACGATCGGCCGAACAGCGCGCGACACTCCGAGCGTGGGGCGTTCCACGCGCGACAGATCGCGAGCCGATTCGTTGATCACACGAATGTCATTCGTTGTAAATGGCATTCGAGTAAATGGCATTCGAGTTGCCCGTGTGGCGCGGGCATGAGATAGGTGGAGAGGACGGAGACTCTCTGGGCGTGCAATTCAGCAGCGACAAGTTGGGAATAGTGGTTAATAACGATGAAAAGGGGGCCCACTGAAAATTCAAGATATTTTAATAGCACGCGTAGAGAAATATTAATATCTCGGAGTTGGATGAATGAGGGAAAACAATATTTGAAAGAACAGGAAGAAAGTATGCTGAAGAAAGGAAAAAGGACTGCAGTAATTATGAAGCTTAGGGCTCTCTGGAATTAAAATAGATATGAAGTTGTTAGCGGATTATAAAAAAAAAAGTCATGATGCCGATATTGTATTTTGGCAATGTTGTATTATGCATGATATCTGAGGTCCAGTCGAGTTTAGAGATCCGGCAGACTGACACTGGGGGCACATGGGAATACACCAACTGATGGAGTGCAGGCAGACATGGGCTGGGCATCTTTCGAGGCTAGAGAGGCGATCAGTAAGTTGAAATTAGAACAAACGTTGGACACAATGGAGGATACACGATGGGCGAGAGAGGTATATTTACAATTCTTAACACTAAATGGACAATCAGCCCGAAATCTAAAATTTAAATACCAACAGTCAAGCGCTGGGGCAGAACAGAGCAAACTACCTCTGTTAGAAAGGAGGTAAAAGAAGCCCTGAGAAAAATGTGGGAAAAAATAATGCAGGAAAAATCAGCCTTTAATATGTATAGGGAACGGAAACAGGAAATAAAAAAAGGAACATTGGTATGATAATTCACGGGGGGGGGGGGGGGGGGGGCTGGTTTTTATTTGAGGATAGAACAGGAGTGTTGACGACTAGGGCATATAGGACAAAGTATGAGGAAATTAATGCGCGGTGTGCCGTATGATAAGAGGAATACAAGACAATAGAACATGTGGTCTTTAGGGGCGCAGGACTTGCTCCCGCTTTCTCGAATGGTGCGACTGATTTAGCCGGGACGTTGGGGTTTGCATATGAGAACGGAAGAATGGATTAGTGCATTTTAATAACGAAGATGATATTAGAATACTGTTGGAAATCATCTAGGAAAAATTGAATGATGTACAACTTGCTAACACAGTGGGGGACAGTTGGGACAGAGAAAAATTAGGACTTCCGCCCGCGAGTCTCCGACCAAAGCCTTAACCCTGTCTCCCAGTGGGCACGGTGCTGGGGCAACGCCGACTAGGTTTGACCAGAGGAAAATTGGCAACTCCGCTGGGGGAACAAGGAGGGGGTGCTGTTTTTGTTATTATTTTTGCCCGATCTTGGAAAGGTTATCCTGGTGATACCCCACAGCGCCTGGTGACAGTTACAAAATTGCCGAGGGGAAGCAAGTTGTCTTAGAAGGGCGAAGTGAAGATTCATACTTTCGGTTTTTACTTTCTAGGTTAGGTGGCGCAAGCTACCGCGTGATATAAAGGGTAGCTCCGTTAGTATCCATCCATCCATGCATCCGTTAATTCATCAGGGTATTGACACAATCTTCACACCTGCAGGTCCCTAAATGAGCAAGCAAAGATCAGAGCGCAGTGGTGTAATTAGTGATGCGGGATTTGTATGAACCACCCCAACTTAGCAGTCAAACTACAGGGGCCAAATAATCGCAGTTACCCCTTACAACGGGGACAACAGCTGTCTAAACTTACACCCAAAAAATTTATCGCTACAAATAAATGACTGAATTATATTGTCCTTTCAGTAGGTTTTGATGCAAAATTAAAGATAAAAGAAGATTTAGTCTACAAATAGCGAGGCCTAACAAAGGATAAAATAACTTTTTAGACAATAGATAGACACGTATTTTTGGACTTGCAATTAACGCATATCTACCGCGATGAATAAAACATACAGTTTGAAGGACGTTAGTGTTAACGCCGTGTCACCTATACACAAGAGATGTTTCATAGCTATGCTGTCTTGTTGTGTGCCTTTAGCGCCGAGATGTTTCGGTGGCACCCTCTTATGACTTCCGTTCGTGACGTCACGATCAGATTTGTCTCGCCGTGACGTCCCGAGCTGTAATCTTGACTGCTGATCATCAGTTGCGAGCTACGAATTGAAACTATGACATAGCGCTGATTTCTGTCCATGATAGAAACATTAATCCAAACAAAGACGTCATAGCGAGCCTTTGGCCAGATAGCGAATTGCAACCACGGCGTAACGTGGATCATTATCTTTTCGCTTCGATGTTTGTTTCTTCGGCGTTTTTATCCGTTAATGTATCATAGGCTGTGGAACAATAATATGAAGATTGGCCCCAACCTGTGTCCCTGTCGGGGACTACAGGGTGCGCGTCACTCTGTGGCATGCCGATCTCACCTTAAATTATTTTCACGCAATCCTAGTGAACGTGCACCAATCAGACACAAGCAATCCCACTGCACGTACACAGACCGAACGCCCCTTAAGTTTGTGTGTCCTTCATTTGAGCTACTAGCAAATTAAAGCCAAACTTGAAAAAAAAAGATACTTTAACGTTTAACTGGTTTGTTGGCAAGTTTCGTGTTTTTTTTCCAATAAAGAAAACGAACAATTGATATTGGATGCGGTCCACACGAAGGAGCTGAAATGTTGCTCATGTCCATTCGGTCTGACCCTCCGCCTAAAAGCGGTGTCTGAACGTGGATACCTGTTGTAGATGTGTTCGACGAGTTTGCAGTACGTCTCGGGTCCAGTCTCGCCGCAGGTGGCGTTCACGGTGATGCCCGCGTTGCTCGCCAAGTTGAAGACGGACGGGAACAGGCCCCGCGTCAAATCTGCAGCATACACGCAGAAAATAGATTGCATCAGTACGTACGGAAGCTACTAAAGAAATCCTTTCTAATGGCGTTTCTAAGCGCACAACCAATAAACAAACACAAGTTTTTACTATGTCAAATCTATAGGGTAGAACCGATCCTGAGGTTGACTGTAAAGTGGGTCGGAAAAAAAATTGCGTTTCAGCTTGGCGTGTTGAAAGTTTTATTAATGGTCTATTTTAGCGTGGGTTTTAGCTTATGACAGTTCAACGGGTAGCGACTTTTTCGTAATAGAAGCGAACGATATCTTCGAAAGTCAAAGCGAAGGACGCCGATGCAGACGACTTAACCGAACCAGCAGGAAGATTATTGGCTCGTCTAGAAGTCAACAGGTCACTGCTAGCAGATAGAGATCCTAGATATGCAGAGTTGTACAATACTTATCACAAGCAATCAAATTACTTGTAATCGAGTAGTTTTTGGAGTAATTTTACATAATTTGATTACTTCTATTAAAAAGAGATCACAAAAGTCATCTGATATTTTTGGAAGTACTAAAATTATTCGTAACAGTTAATATATTTCCCTCCTCTTCCTGACGGCGCCCTTTGTTCCTACAAGTTTCCTGCCGAGGAATTCTCGAATCAAATCTCCAAAGGGAAAATGGCCATCAAAATCAGTGCATTGAGAAGATAAGAAGTTCTGTGATTTTGTGATTTTAATGCAATAATAGACAGTACGAAAAGACCCGTGTTCAAACCGGCCAAGAAAAGTGTTGAAAATCTGAAGTAATCTGAAAAGTAAAGGTTTCCTTTTCAAGTAACGATCAGTTCTTTTCGCTGTCAAGTAATCAAATAATCTAATTATATAGTTTATTAAACGAGAGTAATTGTAATTGTAATCGATTACTTCTTTGAAGTGATGGTACGGGACTGTATATAAGAGAGGGAGCAAAATAAAAAAATGGCGAGCGTTTTGCAATTGTAGAATCAACGCTTTCTCCCGCTTCTAAAGGTTGCAGCTGAACGTAGAAGGAAAAACGAAGGATGGGATGAAAAAGAGACACACACAGCTGGACGCAGCTTTCAAAAAACAAATATGTAGACTCCAGGACTCTGAATATACAAGCACACACCTAATACCAATATGCAAAAACCTCTGCAAGAAAGTTTAGCAAAAAAACCCGAGGAAAATGAACAACAAACGAAAAAGAAGCCCCTCAAACCTCTCGTGGTGATGCCACACATCCACAGGATAACGCATCGCCTGGAAAAGATAGCTGGCCGACAAGGTGTACAAGTCGTCTGCTGAGCCCCCAACAAGGCATATGCCATGTGCCGTAAGATGAATCGTGGCTACATAAGGCTACATTCTACATAGCTACATTCATGCTAGATGCATGCACGCATGCTACATGTGCTACACAGGGCAAACTGGAAGCTGTATTAATGACCGCACCTTGGAGCATGCAGCTTCCGTGGGCGCACTAACGTCAGCTGGCCACCCTCAGCGCAATGTCGACTATGCCAATGTGCTCCCTGCTTGCAGGGGAAATACTGGAGTCATTGGCGATTGAGGTAAACGGGGAAGACTGTGTAAGCTCCGCCTCCATTATGCTATTTCCCAAAGAAAAGCTGTTTCTGCAAAGAGCGCCCCATGTGGGAAGCAAAGTCGGGAGCATTTGAAAGCTATCCATCAGGGATCACACCGAAGAAAAAGTTACCCCTGGGAACTCAACGTTTTAATTCGTGCGTGCCGATGAAAAAGATTTTCAATAAATGATTGATAGTCCAGCAGTGTGTGTCTCTTTTTTCTCTCTCCCCCCCTTTCGTTTTCCCCTCTAAGTTCAGCTGAAACATTCAGAAGCACGTTAAACCAACCAGCTAAGCTCCAGGCAACCACAGCTTCCTCCCGCGCAGATTGGTCGCACCTGCGCATGCGCGCGCTCTCTCGTGACGAAGAGTATAGCGGGCGGTGTGAGGAGTCCCTCGCAGACGATTGACGCTTTGTTTAGCGTATTTGCAAGTGCTTTACGAGGCTTCTTATTCCGCGAAAATTCAACAACCTTGGTGCCGTCAGCTCCTGCCCTAATTGGAAGGGCAGAACGCGCCCTGCTCCAGGTTTCCCTTTTTGAATTTGGGAGCTGCCTGCCGCTATCTATCATCGGGGAAAGGCAGCGGATACGGTCGTCTCCGCTGTCTTGGCGCGGCTTTGTCTCTGTCTAATGCAAATGAGGGGGTCAAAGCATACTCCTGGTAACGTAGTACTTGGTATTTCTTTTCATCACTTCCTCGCGTCTGGCATTGCAAACGCGGTCCACAAACCACGTGACCCCGATTGAACAGTTGTAAACACTCTCAAAATCTAGAATCAAAATACGCGTAACAAGCGTCATAGGCAAGGGATGCGGCTAATGAAAGTTTCCAAAAGCGCGTTGCAGTTTCGTTCTTTTATTGTTCTTTAGCGTCACCGGGCGTGAATAATGTTAAGGGAAATTAGAGTACAATCGTTAGTTTTAATTTAGTCGTCCGCAATCGCCTTTATTCATCGACAGCGCGTCAGCCCTGACTGTCGGCTCCACTCGCTCATCTGCACCCATGTTTGTAAGTAGAAAGTTTAAGAATTTCCGATTTTTTTGAAGAAGGTTGTAACGCCTAAAAATTTCGGCGTGAAATCAAATATTAAAATACATATTTCACAGTGAAAAAAGGCACCGCCATGTAATGACTACATTATTCACAAAGGCACATAAATATCAGACCTCGCATGCTTGCAAGTAAGAAAAATAAGTGCCACGCAGGGGAGCATGACATGCGCAAATGTCAAATTCTCAAATAAAAAAAAAAAAAAAAACTGAGCCTGTATATCTAAATTTACTTCACGTTGTGACGTTTTTCCAATAAAAAATAAAATAATTGTGTGCATTGCATTACACTTGCAAGCGTGGCCATGGTCGATTTCATGGCTTCCATTGCCGTTTATACTTTCCACCTCAATTAAAGGCGCGATGTCATAAATGTCAAACGTGAGACGGCTAATTTAATTAGTCTTGCGTGCATGTTTGTACAGCGTAAAATTAGTCAACCTCAGTGGGCGTCTGGTGTCTCACTTGTAGATGAGATATTTAGCCAGTGAAGTACAACCGCTACACTGGGGCCTTTAACGTGCACCACGCAGCAGTGATACACGACCGCACGACGGTGCGGTGCTCATCCAGATCGAAAGGGAAGGGGTGGGGATTGAGCCCAGGGCCCCTGGGGTTCTGCAGGGCGGGCTTTTGCTCCACGTGCCCCGAGCTGGTGCGCGCAAGCCCACCCGGCCACCGATCCCCCCCCCCCCCCCCCCCCCCCCCCCCCATTTTAGGTAGATCTGTACCAAAATTGGTCCCGCGGCGAATCGATAAGACACGACGTCAATGTCAATAATTTCATTGCTATCTTAGCATGAAAGGATAGAGCCTACACCGATTTCAGGATGTAGCTGTATAAGACAAAACGATAATTATAATCTAATAAGGATGTGTCACGTCCTCGTCGTAGGCCTCCACGGGACAAAGAGGAACGCCAAGGTTGGATCTGCTTCTTCTTTACCTCGGCTTGTAATGATCGATCAGAATCATCGAATTGACGTAAATAGCGTCAATTAATGTAACATTGTCATTATTTAAAGAACTAGACACTGCTGAGACATTTTATTTATTTATTTCAACTGACCTTCAAGACCCCTCAGGGAGGGTATTACAGAGGGTTTCAACACTCGTGTTTTTACAATTAGTAAAGAAAACAAGAACAATAGGAATAAGATGACACGAGAAAGTATACATGGTAAAGCTGAAATCAATCAAGAACAAAACATAGTGAAGACACTTTTTTTTTCTTCCCTTCTTTCAACTACGAGCCAGCGGTGAACATGGCTTCGCTCAATTTCCTTTGAAGTAAAGAAAATTAGATATGGAACAGATGCTGTAGGGAAGGTTATTTAATTATTTTGCTCCTAGTGGGAAAAATGGAGCAGGTGAAGTCACTGTTTTAGTTTTGGTGCGCATCACGTTAAGTGGATGACCGGTACAATAAAGAGTTTGAGCAGATGGCATGATGTACGGTGAATTTGGCTGGAAACTGTATTACAATTTGTGAAATAGTGTTAATGTAAAATATTTTCGCCGAAGTCATAGGTTATCTAGTTGAACACATTCCTTTAGGCCGGTGACACTTATTTCATATGAATAACTAGAAAAAATGAACCTTACTGCACAATTTTGAATTGCTTCTAATTTAGGACTGAGGTAATTTTGGGATGGGTCCCTTATATATGTATATGTTAACCATGTCTCGTAAGAGACTCGGTTAACATGTAGTGCCCAAGATAGGTTGCTAGAGAAGTGCACACCTAGGTAGTTGTAACTTAGTGCTGATGAAATTATGGTCTCATTGATAGGGTAGTTGTTGGCTAGTGGGTTAGAGCGCACATGAAAGGAAACCAATATACACTTACTAATGTTTAATGACATTTGCCGCAAATCGCACCACATTTGAACATTATTTAGATATTTTTTAAGTGACACCTGGTCACTTTGGTTAGTAATATTGCGATACACAGCACAATCGTAGGCAAAGAGGCAGATGTTGAAGGAAACAGAAGGGAAAGGTCATTAATGTAAATCAGGAAAAGGAGGGGACTCCAAATGGTGCCCTGGGGGACGCTGGAGGTTACGGATGCGTAGTTAGATAAATGGTTATTGGTGTTTACGTTTTCTTTTTGCGATCCTGCAGGAAATTACCAACCTATATTAGTATCTGCGGGTCTAAGTTAAGTTGAAAACGTCTGAGTATCACTCGTTGATGGGGAACCTTGTCAAATGCTTTAGCAAAACCTAAGAAAATAACGTCGAGTTGGATGTTGCTATCGAGGTTCATATGCAAATCATGGGCAAGTGTGGCAAGTTGAGTTTCGCATCAGAATCCTTTTCTGGATCCATTTTACGATGAACGAATAAAATCATTAGTTTCAAGGAAACG